GGGTTACAGGAGCACATTTGTGAAAAAGCCTTAAAAAACATAAATGCTACAAAAATATGTATGATTGAGTTTTTCCTCTATCCATGTCTCACATGAATAGTTAGGAGGCATGTTTCAGCCTAAAAAAGAAGTCCCCCTGCTTCGTTCTTTACCACTCGAACCTTGAAGGCTCACATCCATCAGTAGGCCATCCTGGCCAACCAGATACTCGGCTTTCATTGTTGGCATTAATACCAGCCCAGGCTGGCACCTGCTCCCTCACTGTAGAAGATCAAACACAGTCTCCCCTGAAAGTGTCTGAATCTTACACATCCAGATAGATCTGAGCATCTGGCTGAGGTGTTACCTGGGGGAAGAGGCAGGAGGTGGCAGATGGCTGGCTTACTCCTTGCTCACTTTCCCCATCGCTCTGTTCTCCCACCATCCTATAAAGGAAGGATCTGAGAAACACATATGAGTGACTTAATTTCTATTAGTTTTTTATTCGTGTATTCTCTTGAAAAGCAATGTGGCAGATGCTGAGATATTCTCTCCCTTTTTGCCTAGTTTTATAGAGATGGCATCATATTTTTGGTGATGTATTATTCCTCTACTCTTCTGTGTATGTCAGTGGGAGTAGATAGAATGGGCGGGAGAAAAGACAATGAGATTCCCACCTCTACATTTAGTTGGGCCACTATGATAAACAATCGCTTGCTATGAGAAGCCCCATTTAACTGTAGTTAAATGTACTCAATAGTACTCAAGGCTAATAGTACTCAAGGTAGCTGCTTTGCAAATTGTTGTCTCTCCATGTTGGGATAAGGAGCTTGTGCTATTATAAACCGACAGACTGCTTTCTTCATGAAGAAAGACATGCTGTGAAAATAATGTAGGATGAGCCAAACAGTGTGCTTAGGGGTATAGTAAGTGGCCCTGGGGGTGGAGAGAGAGGTTCAACTGTGTGGCCAGAATCTCATGAACGCTCCACTATGAGTGTGTGTATGGGAGAAACTTATGATCAATGTGAAAGACCAACATTTCTGAGAAATCCTGGGCATTGTGCTGAAGCTTCTAATATGGCATGCCTTCCACTTTTAGGCAAGAATGCAACCTACTTAGGAACTCAGTTCTTTTTTTCTTCTTTATTGTGTGTGTATGAATCCACTCTTTTTCTAAAGAGAAAGGAAATGAAGAAGTGGGTAGAGAATAAAGTGACTACACTGTGGCAGGCACAAAGAAAAGTGGGTGAGACAGACTAATTGCCTAATGAATAGTGTCTGCTAGTCTCCTCTTTTTTATTTACCTAGAAAAAGTAAATTAATATGGTAAAGAAAAATTCCCAAACTAACAATAAAAACTTCCAAATTAAGCCTAGGTTTTAGTTCTTTAAGGGGAACCTGTAAAAGATCACTGCTAAGAAAAGTTTTGCATCACTTGACATTTAATTTGAAATCGTTTATCTTCAAGTCAGCAATAATTAGGTGCTACTATCAGCCATTCATCATGAATTGCAGAATACATTTCCTCCAGCGAGAGAACAGCGCTTAGCATGGAGCAAGTCAAGGAAAGCCAACACGATTGAAAGCAGATGTTTTAGAAATAAATGTCCTTTACTTATCCCCTCACGAGGCACTGAAGTTCTGTAGTGGTATCATTGTTCTGTCCCCTGTACCATACAGAAGTGGCGCTGTGCTAGCCAAATTCTAATAAAGAGTCTTCAGTACTTAGCCATGTATCACCAAGAAAATGGACCATCTAAGGCACTTGTATTGCTATGGGAATAAATATATATTAATTAGTATGTATGGCTCATGAGACAGACAAATTATGGATGGCACCTCCAACAAGAGTTGAAAATAGTCATGTAGTCACTTTTTAATTGCATGAGTTTGGATCTAAGCCAATTATATTACTCCATTGACTGCCTAATGAAACCAATATGGAATTAACAGGAGATACACATTTTAGAAAGAAATGTGTGTTTGTCACTACCTCAGCAGGTTCATTTTAATAAGTTAACTTTGGAGATCCTATACAAAACCCCTACAAGAAAAAAAAATACTATGGGGAGGGAAGAAAAAGGTGGAACAAGTATAGAAACTTAATATAACTTACATGTAAATATAACTGGATCCAAGGGCAACATCTGTATTTAAGGTCGTGGAAGAGAATTTAGAACTAGTAATGTAAGTTAGCCTCAAGTAGAGGTTTGAGTGTGGTGGTAAACTCAGAATTTTTTGGATGCAAACGTGTTTTGACCCTAACCTACATGTAATGGTGCTTTAAACTTTTATTACGTTGTGATAATACACGTAGGGTTTCACAAGTGGGTAGTCAAGTACCTATTTTACTTTCCATGCATTTCCCTGCTTGAAGAAAGTTGATTCGATCCAAGCTGATGATCTATCTGTGTTTATGTTTTGAATAAATAGTATATTGAAATAAAACTAGTATGCTTTTCTCAGGGGTTTTATTATAGCAGTGGTTTCTCCTTCCATCCGGAACTTGTGGCAGGGTACCCCAAACTCCATTATTTATTAGGTAAAGCCTTCCCATGAGAGAAATCAACAGCTCAGATGGGAGAGAAAACACTGCTGCTACTCCTTCTCTAAAAGCAATTTTGATTTGTCTGAATAAGAGGCACAATTTCATTTCCCCTGGTTGGGTAGACAAGTCTACTGTCTTCTGGAATCCTTTCTTCAGGCACTGGCACAACCGACAATTCAGGTCCCTGGGCGGTCAGCTCTAATTAAGTCAATTTCATTCAATGTGTAAAATGACTTCAACATTCTTTTATATAGAGAGTTTTTTTTTTTAAATCACACCAGTGTATTAGAGCAAGGTCCATTTTTGAGAAGCAAGATCAGTTATTATTTGTGCGGAGAGCAGTTTATGGTCAAAACGCTAAAATTATATGGCAGTGACTTGGCATTGGGTTGGACATTCTTAGTACACATTATAGAATGACATTTAAATGACATATTAAAGTCAGACGAGTTAGATACGTTTGAATTTAAAATACAAAGATACATGAAAGAAAATGCCCTCAGTTAGGCAAACTAGATTTGAGTTAATAATAATGTCTCCCTTTCAAGATGTGTGCCATGAAAATAACAGTGATCAGAGTGATTTCAAGTAACTTTCCAAACTGAAATACAGAAGTACGTGTGCTTGGCAGAGTATTTGTCTTATTGTCTGCTTGTAAAGACTGTCCCTAGAGGACTTTGTTCCCCTAGGGTTCCTTCAGCTTTGAAGCCTGATGCTAGATGCTCCTTCAGGGTTTACTCTGGTCCCCCTGCTGTAACATGCTGTGCACTGCACAAACCCATCAGGGAACACAGACAATTTTTTCCTTCCAACCAAGGAACACTAATTTGGGGGGAATTTTTTGCTATTTAGGAATCGTGCCAAACAATCTACAAATGGAGAGGAGTCTGGAGACTGTGGACAGTATCGGCAGCTTCTGAAATATTAGATAATGAAGAAGCAATGAGGAGAAGCAAGTGATGCTGACTTGTGCATTTCATTAGATCTGATTCTGCATACATATTAATAATGATGTTCCCCCACGGATGCAATTTCATGTTTATAACACTTTGGCCATTGGCAGCATTGTGCACCTTGTTTTCCATGCCTTCCCATCTGCTGCCTACAGTCATTCAGATTCAGGTGACGGAAATATTTCAGATAAAAGTTAATTAGCTTGCACTCTGCAGATCGAATCTCTATAGTTCAGCATGAAACAGGAATCTTCTGGGCAACTGCCAAAAGTAGCTTGTGCCCACCCTTCCTAAGATTAAAAAAAAGATGTAAGATCCATTTTTCCAGGAAAATAAATTTTTAGTACTCTGTTGACATTTTATGCATGGATTCTAGGAAACTTTTGATATTTTCCTGTACTCATTTTCATGTATTTTTTGAAAGAAGAGAGATTGGTAATATTTTTTTTCTAGTGAAGGGAATAGAGTTAGAAATTTTCCAGTCTCTGGACTCTTCTACTAGCACATTGACCAATGTTGGTCAAGCCCCAGAACTTTCCTTAGTTCCTCAGTCTTTAAAATGGGACCAATACCACTTAGTGCCTACTTGTATCATTGTACTTTGTGAAAGGCTTAATGAATCTTGATATTTTGATACAAATAATACATAAAATGCAGAAGATGTCCACTGTTTAAAGGACCCTGCCCTCTTTATCACTGTCAACAGTTAAGTTCACAAATATCTTCTTTTACTGAAAATATACTTGAATTTTTTACCCATAGAAAACTGAATCACCACATTGTTCGTCCTTTATTTCTAGATAATTGACACAGAAATGGGCTGAACAGAGAGCAACAGCATATAGCCGGTCTCTGAGCCCAGGTCACACAAAAGAGGAGGTAGTCACGATTAATTAATCCCAATGACTCATCCCATCCGTTTTCACAGGATCACATAGTATTGCTAAGACTAATTAGCCGTTCTTCTTTACCTACTGCTTCCGAACTAGTTACAGATTTCTTATTTACTCGAAGGAATCGGAGGGATGCGCTTCCTTCCTTACACCATCGCCTAGGGCTCAGGCACACGGTCTAAAGAAGTCAGAGCAGATGCTGTGCTTTCCGCCACATGCTCTCTCAGGGTTCCCCCAGGGAGTGAAACTCGCGCAGTCAGGGATCCTCTATCCCCACCCCCGAGCTAGTCATTAGAACCCCATCGCTCTCCAAAATCTTGAATTCAGACATCTACTTCCGTCCGGCATCCACTAGGTTTCTCCCCGTTGGTCAAAACATCCATTTCCGCCCCCCCTTCCTTCCACCTGCTACCTTTCTCTCTCATTTTATTCCTATTCGCTCTTAAAATGTTTTATTTTACTTCTACCTACCACCTACGGATGCGGTCCAATCCTTAAACAGTATCGAAGTTGTAAATCCTAAAGTCCCTCTAGACTTAACCTGTTCCCCCTTATCCCCAACCCCCACGGCGGTACCAGCCCCCAGCGGCGCCCGCCTCCACTCTACTCGCCAGCGTCCTCTCACCTGACTCTCCCGTGGAAACTCCTGGCGCACGATGCTGATCACTGGAATGTGCAGGACGGAGCTGACCAAGTCCAGCTCCATCATTTCTCCCTGGCTCTGGGGGAAGGCGAGCAGCGCTGATACCCCTTGCACCACCACGGTGTGGCACACGCTCTGCAGAAAGGAGAAAGGGTCACTGCTCCACGGCGAGCTAGGGGAGGAGAAGGGCAAGAGCGGCAGATCGCCCAGGCCCGCCTCGATGGCCATCACTACTTCTAAAGACAGGTTGTAGGGCAGCAGCCCTTCCACGCGGTTCAGGTTGTCCACGGCGAAGAGGAGGGCGTCCCGAGGCCACAGGGTCTTGGCCCTGGCGCCCTCCCCGGGCTTCCGGGCACCCGGCAGCCCCCGGCCAGGCAAGGCGCTCCCCAACCAGCGAGCGCCGGGCCAGGAAGCCGGGGGCCGCCAAGTCCCTGGCTTGGGCTCATTCCTGTGGGCGCCTGCCCGGCTGCTGTCCGGAGCGCGGCTGGCTGCGCGGGGGGCTGTGATCCAGGGCTGCAAGTGCACCGCGCCGACCCTCACCGCGTGCCCAATGCGCTTGAGAATCTGGCAGGGCTGCGGGTGCGAGGAGGAGCCGGGCACCCCGGCCAGCACCAGTGCGCAGGGCGGCGGTAGCAGCAGACAGACCCTGCTCAGCAGCCACCACAAACTCAGTCTCCTCATTACTGAGACCCGCAGGGAGAAAGCGCGCCCCCTCCTGCGCCCGGCTCGCCCCCCTGCAGCCGCCGCCTAAGGTCTCCGCCCCCAGTTCCAGCGCACAGCTCACTCGCTGCGGTGAAGCGATCCCAGGAGCTGGAGTGGTCTCGGGGCCATCCAAGTGGCAGCCTAGGGCGCCCTCGGCAGCGTCAGATCCCGCTCCCGGGTCCGTGCGCCTCGCATCCTTTTCCCGCCCGGTCCTTGAGCGGAGCCGGGCAGACGGGCGGGCGGGTGCCGCTCACCCGCGGCTGGGGCGCCTGCCCCGCACCTGCCCCATCTGCGGGGCTGCTCGGGCGCTGCGTCTGGCCCCACGGGGAGGCTGGGCTGACAAGTCTCCAGAGTCCTAGGGGGCAGCTGTGACCGAGGAGGCAACGCGCTCACTTGGATTCTTTTCTCTTCCTTTTCCACCCAGGCGAGACCCACTTATTTCCTTGGGGTCGCGCAGGAGAAGGCGTTCACGCCCGGGGTGCGGAAAAGGAGCCAAATCCACCTCGCTCCACCGTGGGGCTCTCGCAGCGCTGGCTTCATTTTTCTTCTTCGCTCGTTTCTTCCTCCTTTCCTTTCGTCCTCTTTCCGCCCAGTCGCCGCCGCCGCCAGCTTCCTCGGAGGAGCGACGCGACTGGACAGCAAAGGGTGGTTCTGCTCCGAGCTCAAAGTTCTCCCCGCCTCAGCCGGCGCCTCCCTGTTGCTGAGCCCTGGCACCAGCCTGTCGCTTGGCTGCGCTAAACGCCCGCTGGTGGCGAGATTCCCCGGCAGCGATGCCTGCGCGCGCGGGGGAAAGTCCTCTCCCTTCAACGGTCAGGAGTCGTAGTTTGCAACATTCCCCGCGACCTCAGAGGCCAGGACGACGAGCAGCGGAGAATTCTGAATTCGGAATTGCGCCGGAGCAATCTGAAATCCAGCTGTTCACTGGGATAAATTCAAATAGGCTGTGACTTGAACGAACTTCTTTCTTTTGCACGTGTCGTTTTAAAGGTGTCTTGAGTTAAGGGCATTAAAGCAAGAATCGTGGACACATTTAATCCCCCAGTTCCTGTCTAGCTTGTGGGCTTCTGCAGATTTTAAGGATGCCTATGATTTTAGATGCTCATCATTAAAATAGTGAATTCAAAGCAATTATTTGATCAAGAAATTAAAGAGACGAAATACGTTTAGAGTTTCAAGCACAGTCAACAGCGTTTCCTAGATGAGACCAGGAGTTCTCTAGATCACCGGATTCTAGCAAGTTCTTCCATTTGCATGCAAAAACTGTGAGGTCAGTGGGTTACCATACGATCTTTTCCTTCATGATTTACATGATCTGGAATTAGAAGCAAAGGAGAAGCTTAAGGGCGGGTCTGTGGTTTTCACACTTGCAGTAAATTTCCTGCCACAGTATCATTTAGGAGAGTAAGGGCAGAGCAAGCACTGGGCATCAGCAATTCTGAATTTCAACACTGCTGCAAGAGGACCATGACCTTGGCAATTTATTTCACCTGACCTTCCCCTGTTATTGGATCTGTTAAAGTGTTATGCAAATACAGTTAGCTTTTAGCTCTGGACAGTTGCTTTGATTCCTGAGCTAAAGTTGCCACCAGGCTTTAAATCCTTGAGGCAAACAAGCTCTAGCTAAATAAAATTCCCAAGAAGGTTGCACAGTGAATGCTGTTTTCCTCAGACTTTTAAAGGCATCTCCGAGCAAACTTACCTGACACTCAGAATAGTTTACAAGGCTGGGGAGCCAGAGAAAAAAGGCTTCCAAGACAGAAAAGTGAAAATCATAGTAGAGGTTAAACTAGAGGAGAAAAGTTTCCTCCTGATTTCCTAGAGAGCATCCCTATACACGGACCTGAGTAAGGTGTGTGGAATTCCCTGGTCCTTATATTGCAGAAAGTGGAACCCTACCAATTCTGTGGTAAGGAGGTATAACTGTCTGTGTAGGAGTTTGTGTGTGCTGAGGACTATCACATTCCAGTTGGTGACCACGCCCCAGCGTGGTTCTCTTAAATTCTGGCATTACTTGTACATTCAAATGAGGTTCCCAAGAAAATAGGTGGTGATGAAGAATAGATAGATCTGATAGTGAGTAGTTAGACAGACAGGGGCGGAGCAGGAACAATAGACCCAGTACAGAAGGTCACCATGGCAGAAAGCCCTGGGGCGCCTAGCCAGGACAAAATTGGGAAAACAAGTATTGTAGGGTGGGACCTTGCCCTCAGGTTGACCTTTCCTTCCCTAGCTTATAAAGGTCCTGTGGTTTAGACCCCCTGACCTTTCATATTGCTGGTCATGCAGTTTGGACCCTCCTCTGACCTTTCCTCTCCCTGGCAAATTTCCAGCCATGTGGTGGACCCCTTAGAAGAGGAGCAAGGGAACAGGAGATTAGAAGACCCCACACAACCACTCCCTTAAGCCTTAAACCCTTGGGGCAATGAGGTTCTGGCCGCAGCATATAATCTTAAGGACAAAGCTTCAGGTCTGTTTAAAACCCCTGCCTGGGAAAACAGAGATAGGGTTTTGGTCCAACCAGATATAACATCAAGGCCTCAGTAACATTTCAGCTCCAGGCCCAGAAAAGTGGCAAAACCAAACTAGTTGACACCATGGCCAACATCAGGACCAGCTGCAGTTACTAATGATCCCCTGCCTTAGTGCCAACCAATCATCAGAGACCAGGGCTCTATAAGGACACACCTGGAAAGCTGATGAATATTCAATTGAGATCCTTCCCTGAGGCCTACCCTAAAATTGCTGCCTTTGGAAAACAGCTAAAACCCTTTAAGGCAAAGGACCCAGTGTGTTCTGTTTGTCTCTCTTTCTCTCTCTTTTTTTTGTGCGCATGCCTGTCCCTGCCCTCTTCTTTCCCCAGGCACATTTTCGCTGGAGCCTTGTCTTCCCCTCTCATCTTCCCCCAGGTTGTTGGGGACCACCCTGACTACTTTCTGGAGCTGAAACCCCCCATGGCTAAGGCTGAGTGAGCAACCTTCGGACCATAAGCCACTAAGGAGACAAAGCTTATCTCCCTGGCAGAAGTGCCGCTTCTGCTCCTTTTTCCATAACTGGCCTCCAGTGCTTGAGTTATCCAACGGTGGGTAAGATTGCCCAAGGGGAGAACCACCTAAGACAGGCATGATCATGTGGAGGCCCCAGGGAAGGACTTGGGGGGCCATGGAGAAAGGGGGTGATGGACCCTTGCCCCCCGGCTTTGACAAAGCCTGAGTCCTCTGTCTGTGAGAAGTCTCCGAGAATTCTTTGGCTATCTGCCTCCTCTGTCTGACTTAAGCCTGAAACATTGACAGAGGGTGGTTCAGGCTTGTGCTGGGAATGGTGGGTTACCCGGGGTAATCAGGCATAAGAAAGAATTCCTAAAAGTCCTGTGAAACCTGCTTTGCAAAGAGTGTTTTCATTCATATGAGGGTCGGAGCAGGCAATGAGTGGCTCTCCCAAAGTTTCTGCAACCCCCTTTCCTGACAGACTCTGACTCAGAGTAAGCCCTCAGGTTTCTTTGAAATGTTATCTATTGTTTGATCCTTACCACCTGTATTTCTGTGTATTATAACCCAATAAAAGTCCCTGGAGGAAGGGGCTCCTGGCCCTTCCCCTTAAGGGGATCGGCCACCTCTCCTCCCCAAGCAGATCAAGTCTTGGAAGTGTTTACTTTCACCCGTGGTAGATGGGGGGACTTGTGGGAAAAGTTGCCCCCACACCAGGTACATGTTCTTTGCCTTTCTTTCTCCTAAGCTCCAGAGGCCCTTTTGCCCCTGTAACTTGTATCCTGAGACCACACAGCCCAGGTGGCTCTCTTCTTCTATGACTCATTTCTTCTACCTCTGAGACTTTCTAAATAAACTTTTGCTTGTATTTGAGTTCTTGACTCTGAATTCTTTCTTAGCCAAACTCAAGGGTTGAGGTCTATCATCTGGTGCCATTTGCTGTTAGCAGGTGTAATGGACAATGGCATCCTATAGTCCCATGTGCCTTAGGCCTCTCATAAGTCCATGAGCACCTGGAGGGAACAGCTCAACTTGTGTTTCATAGAAGAGAGGACGATTCCCACGGTTCCGAGGTCAATGCTGCCCCAAGTTGTGATAAAACTGCAGCTGAATCATGAGAACACTGAGTGAACAGTGAAGAACAGCCCTTCCTTCCTGTGCCTTCTTTTGCTGCTTTTCTGGGCTTTTCAGTTACAATACACTGGTTTTCCCTCTGTTTCTTTTGCTGTTGGTTCTCTTTTTCCTCATCACTGTAATTTGAGCATCTCTGACCTGATTCTCTTCTCTCCTTTCCCCACATCTTCCTTCTCCCCTTTCTCCTCCTCCGTCTTCTCCTTCTTGTACGTGCTTCAGTGGTCATAATTTTTGAGATTCAGTCATCAGTTCAACAACCATTTATTAAGCTCCTACTATGTGTCAGGCATTGCTGTGGGACTGTCCTGGGGATAGACGAATAAAGTCTAGTTCAGAGAATTTGAGTTTTCCCCCACCAAGTCACAGAGTTAATGAGTAAACAAAATGCTAACATTGAGCTTGTATTCTAGTGGGAGAGACAGACAATAAAACACAAATAAGTGAATGGTGGATATGTTAGTTGATGGTAAGGAGAAAAAGAAAACACCACGTGGGAATAATGGGAGGAGAGTGGGCTGCAATTTTAAATAGAGCAGCCAGGGAAAAACTGAGTGAGAAGAGAACTTTTGAATAGAGACCTAAAGGGAAGTGAGAGAACAATTCAATTGGATACTCAAGACCAGAATTTCCAAGCAGAGGAAACAGTGAATGCAAAGGCCTGGAGGCAGGAGTGTTTCTGGTTTGTTTGAAGCATAGTGAGGTGCCCAGGGCTGCTGGAGCAGAAGCAGAGTGTTGGCAGGTGAGGTCAGGAGGCAGTGAGGATGTGGCAGGTCATGTAAGCCAATGAACAACTTCGGCTTCTACTCTGAAGGGAGTGTGAAGGCATTGGGGAGGAGGCATTAAGCAGAAGAATCACAGAAC